CTAAACGTGTGCTTCACCGGCTTACCATGTGCTTCGAACTGTATCCACCCGACGGTCTTTGATAGCCAACGCCGCCTTGAATAACGACACTTGCTCCTAGTAGCCAACGTCGGCTTGAATAACGTAGTTGTGCCCGTGTCTAAAAGCGCTTCCACCACCACTTCGTCCAGCATCGCTCCCTTCGTGACTCTCGCAGCTTCTAACGTGTCTGCAAACTTGGCCACCCGGGTAGCTTCCCTCATTCTCCATCTTCCACGTCGACTGTGCACCTCTTCTCGTCCAGCTGATTAATCTTCGTGGCCGCTTCTGAACACGTGTCGTAAAGGACCTTCCTTGAGTTCAGCCCTGGTGTGCTAAGAATCAGCTGGTTGCTCTTCTCGTGCATCTCGATTCCCAGCCTGCCATACCCGCCGTCAAACACCCGAACCCGACAATCCTTTGCCTCGTGACCCCTCTTGGGACAGATGCTGCACTCCAAGTTCTTCGTCGGGCACACATCAGCCGTCCGGCCTTTCTTGTGGCACCTGTGGCATTCAACCGACTCATCACCTCGATACTCTGATCCCATCCGCTTTTCCGTCACGCCCCCGAGGCCTCTCTCTCGCCAACAGCGTCGCGTAGTGGTCGGCAGTCTCGAGGAACGAGTTCCATAACGAAATATCTGCAACATATCTCCGCACATTGAATCTGTTTAATTAAATATGAATTCCTGTTCCTTGGGGAAGTCGGGTTACATGCCTCAACGGTTCGCACACGCGCGCGATGTCCCAACAAGTTGGTATATCTTCAGGCCCCCTTCGGCAGGGCCACGTGTTGTGAACACGAACATTAGAATATCTGAACGGGCCAATCTTGGAAATAATACCCTTCCGGGAGTCGGTGGCGGAAGGTAGTGTTGATGAGAGTAAGACGCCTGAGCAGCTAGTTGGCGACATGATGCGGACCCACGTCCTGAAGCCAGATTCGGGAGTGGTGGAACCTGTCGAACAAAAGGTATTGGATGAGTGCATGGATCGCACCAGAATGCTGGCGCTACTTGAAATTTAAGTGTGAGGAGCGGACCAGCTGGAGTAACTAACCAAAGGTTCTTGGCAACGCTTCTAGGGGCGCGTCTGCGGGGAGGTTCACCGGTCACGTGGATCAAGACGTTACAGGCCGTACCCGACGACGCTGCATTCAGCACGGTGCGACTGTACGGCAACCAGGTAGGCCCCCACTTCGTTGGACTACCCGCCGTGAGTGCGGAGGAGATCTATAAGCTGGACGTAATTTCAAGTCTCTTTAACTTATTCCTCAAGACAAAGCGAGGCCCAAAGATGTTCTTGAGTTTGGACA